GAGTATTTGTATACGAAAGAATCTGATAATTGTATTTTAAAATAACAATAAATACACGTGTGGAATACAAATATACGAAGCAGAGTTAATAAAAACTAGTTTTTCCTCCAAACTTTATTTTTTTACGTATTCACACTCTATCTTTAAGAACGATAAAATTAATATATTGAAATTTCTATACTACTTTTCTCCAAGTTTTTCTTATCTTTAGCAAAAATTAATCCCACAAAATGATCTTATCGTCTCCTCAATTTACCATTTGCTTAATACAAATCACGATGAAAATTAATTCCGTCAAATATTTAGAAAGTTTACGAATTAAGGAACCGTCGAACGAATCTCTGAATCTGTTCAAAGTTCACGTCCTGCGCGGATGTCACGGGGGAAGCTTAAAGACCAACTTGTTCGATTTCGCGTCTAGGAAGTGGAACGCAAACATGTTGTACTCCATCTAAATTTATCATGCGTCTCGCCGTCGGCGTACCTCGCATCGTTTACTTACGCCGTTACAGAGATGCCCGTCGATCGACGAAATTGTCGTTATTACGTAAAATAATTCCGTTGAAGTCAACGATTAAATGTCAGCCTTAAATAAGAAAGTTGACGATCGGATCGCGAATGTTTGCGAATAAGACCAATTGTTTCAAAATAAGATTTATGATACGAATAAAAAGTTTTCGAGTTATAGTTTTGATACCTTATATCGGGATAAGTCTATGGAAAAGTCTAGTTAAGTTAATTCCAGTATTTATAAATGGAATTCAATATCAAATATACGAAATTTCGATCGACAATGTTGAAATATCTCGAGAAAAAACGAAGTCTAGAAAAATGGAGAGGATAAGATAATCAATGGTAATGCGTCTTTAAGCTGATATTCGAAGGGAGTTATTTTGGAAAAAGTCGATTGAGAATAAAATTAAAAAGATAAATAGAAAAAATAAAAAAAAATATTCAACAATTTCAACGCGATAAAAGAATCTATAATATATTCTATCGAGGAAGGAAATATTAAAGAGAGAAAAATATATAGCAGTCCAATAAACTTTGTTATCGAATTTATTCGATAGGAAAGTCAATATATCGCGCATATTAAGATTCAACCGTCCGCAGAAATCCTCTTCTACTAGTTTTCACCAAGGAAAGTTCAAAAAGAAGAAGATATCGTATATCCATAGCCTCATCTTTAGTGCAGATCTTTAAAGAACTCCATTGGACGAGAGAAAACTATTCGTTTCCTCGAGAAACCTTTCTTAAAACTATCGACCAAAACAATCAGAGATATTCTTTATCGAGAAAGAGAAACGATCGATCAATTCTAGTGTCCCTTTTTACCCTTTTTAAATTTTTCTGAAACTTCTCATCTAACAAAGTATTTCAAAGTACGTAACTGAAATAATTTATATATGTATTTTCATTTTAATTCCAATTAAAATAACTTAATTTCGTCATACCTATTTCCAAATTATTGTATTAGTATCGTTAAAATTTTCATACGAATAGAATTCGTGTATAAACAGATTTCCCTCCAATTCAAACAAGAAAAAAAAAAAGAAGAAGATGAATCCATTAACATCTAAAGAATCAATGCCAATTGGCCAAATGAGACACCGTGTATATCTTACAACGCGTATATTCGTGGCACAGGCAGAAAGTTTGCACGAGTACACTGCCTACAGGCATACGTTGTCTGGGAAAGGCCCGGCTAATTTTGCTGGCCACAGCACCAGGCGACCTGATACCGATGTATGAACGTGAGGTGCACACCCGGAATCTGTGCCCGGCCGAGTCTGTGCTCCTTCGGTAAATGTTTACCTCCGCACCACTGCCGACCGATCTATGTATTATTATCGGACTCGTACACATCGTTGGCTTGCGATGCCAAAGCTGTCTGACCATCGACCGTCCTCTATCCACTGTGGAGTCTACGGTGAACGTTCGGAACATTTACGACGAGGGTTGGTGATTTTTTGAGGCGAGGTTGTAGGCTTGGAGTTTTATTTCTGGGAATATTGGCAAATTAATGGGAATGTACGTTTGGGAAAAGGGATTGTGTTACCTCGTTTTATAGGGTAGTAAATGAAATAGAATAGTGGAAATAGAAATTGGGAGAATGGAAGAATTGTGATGGTTTCTTTTTACTTTTCTATTTTCGCATTTTATCTTTTTTTTTTCTTGCTTTATTTAATTTTTGTGGAAAGATATATATTTTTCCAATATATATTTTTTGATGAATCTTTTTCTAATATCTATCTTCGATTTTTTATGATACAATATTTTTAATCCCGATAAATAAAATAAATTTTAATTAGAAACGTGTTAGAAGAAATATCAGATTTCTTATTTTTGCAATTATTAAAAAGTAAGAAAAAAAAATGATCTTTTCTTTTTTTACAAAAATATCTTTATCTTAATCCCTTATAAAAAACTAACGTTTAAATATTAAAAACATCTACGCAAAAAATATCTCTTATATATAGAACATCACGAACGAAAAAAAAAGAAAATGTGTAAAAATGAAGTCAGATAAAAATTGTTGCAGCACATCTCGCGATATTAACGATTTTATGAGAGAGGTCAGTGTGCTAGATCCCTCGACCACGAATATACGTAACACGTGCAAACGATCATCGTCGAAAGAAATCGGAAGGGCGGGGAAAATCGCGTCATCGGCAAAGCTGGCAAACGTCGATCTTAAATCGTATTTTGTAAACAGTGGTTCGCGTGCTTCCGTGGTCTTCGAACGATAACGTTAATGGACTTCATTTACATGGCGTAATTACAGCAAATGGTTGGCTCGCGATTCAAATTAAGCGCGAGGTGCAACGACCACGAGATCAAGGGAAAAAGATTCATCCAAAATATTCGCTCGTTACGTAATTTTACGTATTTTCGCATGATTTTATAATTGAAAATTTGATAAATTCATTTAACAGTTTTAAATTAATGTAATCTTTTTTAAATTTAATTTAATCAGATTTTTTGATTCTATTTATTTTGAAATATAAGTATTAATTATTGTATAATATATTTGTATTCTTTTATTGTGTTTGAATATTCATGTAATTGGATAGAATCTTATTGGATAGAATTAATGATGTAGATTGTTACAATAGTAAAGTTAGGACACAGAGAATTATTAAACAGAAAGTAACAAGAGGTTATGTACATATTATAGATCATTTTGATCGAGACCAATTGTTACTGATCAACCCATGATGTAGAATTGTCGTATAAAAATATGAAAGATATTATTATGAAAGATAGAAGAACGATTACAATTTATTATATAATATATCACAATTATGAAATGGATAAAAATTACATTAATTTCATATTAATTTCTCGTGTAAAATTCACATATAAATTATATTAAAATTAATATAAAAAAAATAAAGGTGGAAAATAAAAAATGAAAATACGATTGATAGGGATGAAAATGAAAAATTAATACGATTAAAATTATTTCGACAATCAGAGGTAGGAAATTATATTTTAATTAAATTTGATTGAAATATTTATTTGTATGAAAATAATAAATATTTATAATTGTTTCTTCTGATAATATTTTTAATTTTAAATTAATTTTTCATATAAAAAAATTTAAATGATATCGACAAATAAAAAGAATTGAATTTTTTTTTGATATAATTAAAATGTATTCGTTCTTCTATTACATAATTTATAATTCTCGATATCATAAACGAAATGAAAAAAAAGAAAGAACTACATTATAAAAAGGAAAAAATAAAGCTCTGAAAAATAACCTTTTATAAAATAAAAACAAAATCTAAACTTTTTAAATTACCTCTTTCAACCATAGGAATTATCATATTTATTGCATTTTATTTTAAATTCTAAAAATTCCAAATCACGAAACATTCCATATAAAAATATCTTTCAACAAAACGAATTGTCAAACAAATCGGTCAGTTCGATAACAAACCAGATGAACCGTATTGTCCACAAACGAATCAGGAATAGCTCGTGTCAGACGCGAGGGCAGCTATCACCGGGTTAATAATATCTGCTCCATGTACAATAAATATCAAACATCATCTTGCTTCTTTATACAGGTCACGAGACACTATCACGCCAATTTTTTATGGTTAAATTCTCAATAAAGTAGAATGAACTACTGAGACTTATCGCATATACTTATAAATTCTCATATTTGATAGGCCAATTAAATTTCAAATTATTTTTCGCGATAAAGCAAAAAGATACCATCGACAAATGCAACAACTAACGTTATTATTTATTACGTCGATATATTATGTACTAAAAATATAAAATATCCTCTTTAAATTTAGATACTCGAAGAATTGTGGATAAATTAATATTTTTTTAAATTAGAAAAATAACTTTTAGAAAAATCAAAAGAACTAAAAGATTTTCCTTTTATTTTCTACACGACAAAGAAACAGACTTATCAAACATCCTTTCAAAGTATATGGTATAATAAAATTAATATTTCATTAAAGATCATTCGCATATTTTTCAAACGATACGTACGTTGACGACTGCTGAAAATTTTACTCTATTAAGAAGGAAAAAAGGAAAAAGGGCAAAGAAAGAGAAACAGAAACACCTACTTGTATGCAAGAACGCGAGAACGGAGCCGAGGAAGATTCGTCGTTTTCTACTCTCTTCTCGAAACACGCGACAACATTAGGGAGAACGCGTTTCAGCGCGGCGTTCCTCTGCTTCTCTTTTTCAACGTCGCGTCCACGAAAATTCGTCTCGTGCGATGACACCGCGAGAACACCAATTATAACTTCCCTTCGTTTTCCACGCGGCGTCGATTTAATGAAGATACCACGTCGCGTAAACAACGTTTCGCCCCCCGGACCAAACCAACTTTCCAATTAACCGCCGGTAAAATTACGTTCTCCCACCAATTCCAAAAAAAGAAAAGAAAAAAAAAGAAAACATTGATTCTGTATCTATCAATCTGTACTAAGGAGCAAAAACTATCGAAACTATCTTTGAACACTTACATAGCTCCTGTAGGAGGCCATGGTTCGCGCGATCTCCCCTCCTCGACCAAGAGAAAGCGAAAGGATTCCAAGGGTGAGACGACTCTCTGGTCGCTCGATTCACCGATCACCATCGACCACCGACACCATCGACAACACCAAAAGAACCACCACCACCACCACCACTACCAACACCAAGCACCAGCACCACCACGCGGAGCGTGCACCACGTTCGTTTCACCGTGACACCTATCGAGACCGAAAAGAAGAAGAAGAAGAAGAAGAAGAAGAAGATTTAAGAGGAAGAAGTCGAGAAAAAAAACTGGGAGGAGAAGAATAGGAAGAGTAGGAAAGAAGATTACGAAAGATAGAGAAAAATATAGAGGAGGAAACTGGAGAGTGAAATAATAGAGGCTATAAAGTTGGATGAAGAAAGAGGGATAAGAAGAGGTGCACGAAGAGGTGAAACGTGGAGAACCGATCGAACGACGAACGGTTCGACGAAGCGTCGTCCCCGACGGCACGTTCTCATAAGAGAAGAAGAAGGAGAACGGTACGGAGGCGCTTCGTTTCGGACGAAGCTCGGACCCTGAAGAAGAGCCGGCGACCCGCGAGGCACGCCGTCTTCCCTCTCTTTCTCCATCTTCGCTCGTCTCTTACCAAGCCTACACTCTCCCTCTTTCCACTCTACTTTTCCCTCTTCCTCTGGTTAACGTGTACAACGCGGCCCGCGCCTCACCCCTACCCTTCGTATCGGCTTCTCTCGTTCATTCGCTTCGTTCAGTCGAGCCCTATTTTAAGAATAGCTTCACGTCCTCTCGCCGTTCGGCTTCCGTGCCCGCCCAAACACCGAGGAACGTAAGCCTCTTCGAGAACGAAACTCGAATCTTCACGGAGTTTGGGAAAAGTGTCGTTTATTCGATTTGAACGATGAGTCGGTCGATGGATTTGATTGGGGCTCGAGTCAGGTTGTTAGGATGGTGCGTGAACGTTCGATGGATCGTCCGAGATAACTGTGAAATTTTTAACTGTGAGTTTTATCCTGGTGCAGTGGCAAAATTGAAATACCTCGATCTTATAGATATATATTGGCGAACAATAGTAGTTAAGGTCGAAAGTTAAGATTATATCTAAACGCATTTAATAATTTCTGATTTTTTAAATTTTTAATTTAAATTTGTTAAAACTATTTTGTTAATAATTACAGCAATAAAATAGTGTTAAATATAATTTTCTCTTTTTTTTTAATTCTTAGAAACATATGTATACAGATAATGTGTTTTGAAAAATTAGAAAAGTGTTGAAATCTTGTTGAAAAGAATTATAGAAAATGAAAGATAAAAAAAATCTTTGACTAAAATAATTTCTTTAAAACTTTTTCATAAATTTAATTATATATTTAAATTATATAAATATGTACTTACCTGAATTCAAGTTTCATAAATAAAATCTGAAATTTCTCACAAAAATGAAAATACACATTAAATATCTTAAAAGAAGATCACATGAAGAAAATCTTGATTTTTTATTCGTTTCCTCGTATACTTCATCTGGTACCTAAAACAAAATATTAAAGTTAAAAACTTGAATTAGATTATTTACTTTCAAAAATTACATATATTAAAAATTATAATATAAAAATATATTAAAAAATTATGATGTATCAAGTATTATGATCTTCGAAAGAAATGACAATACATATACTAAAATTACTTTCAGAATAAAAAGAAACATTCGATAAGACATCCTATACTATTTTGTGGAATAATCGAACCAACGATTAACAAATAAGATTGTACCACGATGAGCTACTGTCTCGCGAACAATCTTTGTCGATGATATCCTATCTGACGTCGAATCGAACGAAAGGAGACTATTATCGAGTTAAGTCGAACGAAAGATCGACTATTGAGTCAAATATGAAATTTACCGTGTGTATCGTACGTCTTTCGATACGATTCTCCCTTTTCCGCCCGAATCTCATGTTCGAAAGTATCGAGGAAATCATAGTATTTGAGAGAAAGGACGAGAGGAGGTAAGGAACTTATTCAACAGGAAGACGTCTCACGATCATGGACGAAGGTATCCTTTGAAAGAGGAAGAAGAATTATTGCGTGAAAGAATATTTCGAGAAGAATCGTTTCTTGCGAGAACTTAGCAAGAATCGAATTGTTTCCTTCGAGAGGATTTCGAAGAAAGAAGGATTTATTCTCTGGAAATATCGGAAATGCTCGAAAGCGATTACGCTTTTAATAAGTTTTCGAAGGGAAAGGAAACGTAGTTGTCTCGCTGGACATAGATTTGTCGAAGAACGAAATATTGTGATATTAGATTTCGACAATAATATATATTACTTGATAATGTTATAATATTTAAAGAAAATAAATAAATTGAAATATAATATTTTTTTACGAAACTTGTATATACTTGATTTGAAAATAATAAAAATTAAACAATTTTATAATGTATTCTAATAATTATTTTTTCAAATATTAAATAATTATCAAGTTATCGAGAAAATAATAATTAAGAAGCAATTCCACAATGCATGGTAGATTATTTAATATAAAATTTTTTACTACTTCGATTAATTAAGAATATTATAATGTAAAAGCGATTGATTATATTCCACTATCCTATATTTTCTTTAATCTTGATCTACAAAAATCAAAATTTAATTACTTTTAAAATTTAATTACTTTTAGTCCTAGTATTGTATGTAAGAGATCATTATATATAAAAGATATTAATAAAAATTTCGAGTATTATTCCAAACTATATTCCTATATATCATTACTGCAAACATTTTACAACACATATTCTACAACACAACACATCCTATCAAAACAAAAAATCACGATGATTACCAAAATCCAAAAATATTCACTTCCACCATTCAAATTTCACGCATTCTCCAAGAATACCCAACTTATTCAAGATCTATACGGCCTAGTCGTCATCACCGTCCATCGAAGCGTGAACCACGTCCCCCGATAACGAAAGTGGCGCTAACCACGTACAAACGCGGCGACAGTGTCCAAGGAAGCATATAATATTCGACGAGAAGTTGGAGAGGGCGAGCGAGGTCGGAATTCTCGAGAGGGATTCTGGCGAGGAATCCGGCGGACGGTGGAGACAAACTGCTGGCAAAACGGGCGCGTCTTTGTCCAGGAAACGAGGGCACGGTTGCCGTTTCTCCGGCGACAGAGATTCTCCGTGCCCTCTCTCCCTCTCTTTGCACAGGGACTGCTCCTCGAGAACGGAAACTCCCGTCTCGAGGAATCGGTTCGAGGATCCTCGAAATCAGCCAACAACGGATTGGCTGGATAAAGTGAAGGAGAAAAGGCGAAATAAAGACGGAGAAAAGGCGAAATAAAGACGGTGGAACGGCGGTTTCGTGCCGCGACCGGCAGGAAGTCGGGCGAATTAAAGCGCCTCGGATTGTTTTACCCCCCGAGACGAAGGACGTCTCCTTTTCTCCTCCATGCTTTGGCTGCGATTTCGAAAGCTAATTACAATACGGGTTCGAGGGTTACTCGAAACGGAATCGGTGACCCGGGCAAGAATTCCATGGTGGAGGGAGAAGGAGGGGATCTGGCGCATCGAGATCATTATTAGCCGGCGCATAATGCGAGTTGATTAAAGTCTGAAGCGGATAGCGATTATTAAAGTGGCGTTGATAACGAAGGATGTCCCTCGTATCTCGAGGAAATCTCGTTCTGGGGTTGTTGAATTATTCCAGAGGATTTTAATTGCCTCGCTATGTCAGCTGGTCCGTAGACAGATTTGCCTAATTGATATCCTCTTCTCTTGGGAATGAGTTAAGGTTACTATTGTTGTTATTATTGTTGTTGTTAGCTTCGTGGGGAAAAAAGATAAGTATCGGAGGAGAAGTAGAGAAACTAAACGAATCGTTATGTTGAAAATAAATTAATCGAAGATATTTGAAATTGATTCTGTGATTTCTGAATTGAAAGATATATTTATTTGGTTCTCTTAACGTGGTGTTATTCAAGTTGTAAAAATTAACCGATTGAGAAAAATTGTAATGGAAGAAAATTAAACAAAGATTTGTAGCAAAACAATAGGATAAATTTAAATTCAATGTCGAAAATCGAATTTAAATTTTAATTTTTAAATTAAATGAATTTTAAAATTTATCGTTTATAACTTGAGTGATAATTTTATATGTGAATATGTTTTTATTTTATTTACTCAATTTGATCGGAAAAATTTTAATTACAATAAGCAAAAAATAGAGATGAACGGATGGAGAGAAAGATGAAAAAACAACGATAGGATAAAAAGGGAGTAAATAAGGTATGAAAAGGTAAAGAATATGAGATTCATCGTGGCATTCGATAATTAAATTTTGATGAATCGCAAATAAATAATCACAGACAATAATATCTCTGTGATGAAAAATATTAGAATATTAGAATAGACCTCTTTTTTTTAATATAAAATCTAAACAATATATTAAATTTCTCTTAATCCTTCATAATTCTTCCCCAAGAATTTATACAATTTATACGAATCAGATTTCGTGCTGCCAACTTTCGATGTTCATTAAAACGAACTAAGAACAACGTGAACAGTAATCAACATATCCAGTAGCCGAAAAGCAAGGATCGACCGCAAAGTTATCGGCAGAGGTTCTATCGAAACTTCCAGGAACTTGAATTCGTGGCTCTCGACATCGATGGCGCCACAAGAGAGCTTTCGAGAGCTTTTTCGAAAAAGATTGGCAAAACTATTTACCTACGTTTCACTTTACACTTTCTATTCGCTTATTACTCCGTCTATTAATATCTTAATTTAAAAATAATCAACATCTATACAAAGCAAGCATCTATACACTTTTTCACGCTTCTCAACTTCTCCTCTTTTATCTGCCTCCATTCCAATCGCAGATGATAGGTCAAATCTAAACCGATCCATGTCAGAATCGCAGTAACGACTTTGACAAATCGTGTCAAATCTTCCGGTGGCAGTGAAAATGAACTGTGGTCGTGCGACTGGTGTCACCGATTAATCTCAATCAGGCCGACCAAATCGCGGAAGGCAGAGATGTTGGTTGCATCGGTTCACTCTTCACGAATCCATCTAGAAATATTTTCGTTCCCGATATAGAAGCACAAGTGTATAAAT